TTTTCTGTTTGAATTCTATACATTTAGGTGAAATTAATGCATATTTTCTCTTCTGTGGTCGTTGATTTTGTTGTTCTTCACAGTATTGCAGTACTATGAAATTCATTTGAATCATTTCGTAGGAACTTGTACGCCTGAGTTTATCGGATAAATATCTTACTGGCACGTATGAATCCACTCTCCGTTCTTGCTTTTCAATGCAGTGAGAAACTATTGCCACATGAATTAGAGTTAAATGATAGAAATAAGAGAAGTTAACAGCACATGGATATTATATTTTGTGAAGAGATTATAATCGCGTTTTGCAGATTTGAAGATAAGTTTTTGACACGTTAAAGTTGATATAAAATAATAATCACCATTAAAGTAGATGGCTATCGTTAATAATACATGTTTTTTTGCGCTATAGAAATGAAGTGGTTTTAATGTCATGGATTCGAGACATCTGAAGTACTTGAAAAATAGCTATACTTTCGTTCTTGTGAGAGTTGGTAGATGGTGAAAATTATTGATCTCTACATTTTTTCCCTTTGGCAATTACTGTAAGGTGATAGTGTATGTGATTCTGTTTCTGGCCGGAAAAAAGTAGAAATATACGCCTGAAATTTATTTGTTCATTAAGACTCGAGTGTCATCATAAGATTTCAGCAGAAATTTGCTAGTAACTTAGTGTTCTCTTCCAGTGAATGTACTTCCCCAAAATAAAAGAAAGATATAATATGTAGACTAAAAGTTTATTCAATTGATAATGCTGTGGCACTCAACATGAAAAGATCTCCGGCTTCTGTATTTATTATGGATGGATGGCATCAAGGCTGAACTTGTGTTTGTGTTTCTGTTTCAATTCTGCGGACTGCACCTAATTAGGCGTGTGCAGGGTTCTAAAAAGTTTGGTCTTTTTTTACTTCCATTATTCATGTGGTTACTTTTTTTTTGCTAGTATTTTGTAAAAAATTTGTACGTACCTGTGAAAGTGGCCGTCGCTTGTAACTAATTAACTATGTTCATGTTTTGGGTTGATTCCGTAAAATCTGAGCCTATGTTCAAGTATGGCTGTTAATGCTGCTTTTGTTTATAAATGGTCTTTGTGAAAATCACGATCTAGAGGCCATATATTTTTGCATTAACTTTTTTCTTGGTCTAATATCTTCAGAAAAGACGTTGATAAACGGAATTTGCTTAGTTTGGTAGATTACCAAGTATGATTTTGGAGAAGATATATTGGCTTGTAAATGATGGGGGAATTTTCATCAGCTTGTTTTAATGATAAAAAGCTATATGGGAAGTTCGCATCAGAATCTTGATCTATTCATTTTCGATTTCTGTAGTTCGTAGTTTATACTGAGTGCCGAGATAGCTAAATTTGCTGATGATATAGTTATGGCATTCTTCTTTCTGCAGGTGAAAAGGACAAGCTGATGGAAAAACCGGGAGTGCCAATGGACAGTCACGAACTAAAGCTACAGGGAAATTCGCCTTTTCACTCAATGTCTTGAATTCGATTGTTATGCGAGTTATCCATGGTGTTTTTTCGGGCACATATTCTGTGTACTTATGTTGTATGAAACTACATTTGCTGTAGGACAATTACATTTCGTCTGTGTCTCAACCATGTGCAGATAATGTTTTTCAGTGCTAAAGATACACCGACATAAACCCGTGCCTTTTCTTTTCCCTGAAAACGGTGGACAAATTTTAATCTGAATTTGTCTACATCTTATTTATGAGGCTAGTTCTTTTTTGTTTGGTTTTTCAAGTCATAGATGCATCTCTAAACCGTTTTCACCTCGACAGGTGAAGGGCGATTAATATCCGAGATAGTCCTCCGATGCTCAGGTTTTCGTTCCTTTTGCTGAGAATGGAATTCGGAATCCATTTTCTCCCGAAAATAATTGAACATGCTATAAAAAAATTTCATGCAGAAAATAAAATATGTCTCTACAGATGGTTTCTCTAAGAAAAATTGTTGTGCTGTTGTAGAACCGTAGAGGTAGCACTATCCAAGTCCGGCGGCCCACAGCCCAAATGGGGTGGGGCAATTTTCGTGGGATAGTCGTTTAGATTCGTTAACACGTTTAAGCTAATTTACATATATATTACAATTTATAAAATATTTTTTCATAAATAATAACATTTTTTTTTTAAAAAAAAATAACTTTACATAAACAATAAATTTTTATTGTGAATTTACGAACTATTTATTCTTTAAGCTTACATCTAGTTTAATTATAGTTTATGATATGTGTATGTTATCCGATCTCATGATATGGCTAAAATTTTTATGCTAATATACTAAATGTAAGCTATTATTAGACATCAAATAAACTATGAAATCTTCCATAACATAGATAAATCAAAAATTTCAAACATTTTTCCTAAGACTAAAATATCATTAACCATATGTATATTTAATATATACTACAATAAAATCAAGAAAACAAATCATTATACTATAATCAGACCATCAATAGACATCAATTAAGTTTGTCTTTACCTTCAAAATTCGAAATAAGCGCCCAAAGCTCATAGGCAAGGGCTTGATCGGCCCGGGTTGAAGCCACCGCAGTTATCGACCTGCTGTTGAACTAGTACATAGAGGGGAGCCTTTTATGACAATCAAAACTCATCTGAGTTGTCGACCTGCTGTTAAACCTCAAACCGACTCTTTCACAGCAAGATCCAGTCGACCGGCTTCAAAACTCATACGGCTACGTTCATAGAGGAGAGCCTTTTATGGCAATCAACCGAGCTGAGACGAGCGCACTCCGGCGACCGAGCTGCCTATGTCTTCTGGTGATTGTGTTCCTTTTCCTCGACACAATGTATATTGGCTAACCCGACGCTTGATCTTGATTGGTGTTGGAATTGGAGATTGAGAATTTTTGTACGGTTTATTGATTTGTGTGTTGCTTGGAGTTGATTTTATTATGGAGTTGGTTTGGTTGTGAATTGAAATAGTTGAATTGGTCATTTCGGGTTGTTTAGGTGGCGATTGGAAATTGAATTGTTGTTGGTGACGGGTTGTTTGTGCCGTTTCGGTTAATTGGGTGTTGCTCGGAGGTGCTTACATTATTGATTATTGAATTGTTGGGGTTGTTAAATTGAGGAAGTTGGAGTCGTCGGTCCAAATTGTTTGGGTTTTCGTTGGACATTGAAATTGTTGTGTGTTTCGGTATTCTATTCGCGGCGTGCAAAAAAAATGCTCCCAAGCAAAAAGTTTCGGCTAGCAAGGATGAATGGAAAGAAAAGGTCATTCCCAGTTATGATAAGGCAAAGTTGATCGGGTCGGACATGTGTTGAAGATAAATTGGGGCCCTTCTAGATAGTGGTTGGTTTCTTTGGACGATAAAGTTGAACAAGCTCGTGGACTTTCGGGGCGAAAACCCCGGCTCCTTTTCTCAATCGGACACATCGACGGACACACAGTGATTTATCACCGTGTAGAGCATGAGTTTTTTTTCCTTATTTTTTCTTTATTTTTGTTCTTTTTGTGTGCATTTGTGTTCTTCTCTTTAGTTATATTTCTTTTGTTTAGGTGTTTCTTTCGCATGATTTGTGTATGATTAATTGCTCTTCTCGTATGTTTTTTGGGTAAACAATGATGACATTGACTAACATCAATCCAGGATTGTCTGATCCATGAAGGAAGAACGGATCTTTCATCGGAGGTGTTTCCTGCCGCCCATCAGATCCAGCAACGTTGAAAGCACCTTCACGTCTCGTCGCCATTGTTGCGCAGAAGCGAAGCTAGCTCGAATGTTTCAGAGATTTTCAGAAAATGTAGGATCGAACGCTCGGATACCATGTAAAATCACTAAATCGAAGAACAATCAAAACAGAGAATTTGGGATTTTCTCAGATCATTTTCATATCATCAAAAATCAAAATGAGAACAACGTACAGCAGCACTATATATCCATGCAACACGACAAAAGAGGAAGACGACCTAAACGGCGTCGTACAACTTAAGTGAGACGACGCCGTATGCAGAGAAAAGACAACAGATCCAAACGGCCTAAAACGGTGCCGTTTTAACTAAAAGAAAATAAAGATAAAAAACAAAAGAAAATGAGAGAAACGTTTCAGCGACTTTAGACAACTCCATGCACAGCTCCATGCACAATTTCCATCACAGCAGGAGTCACAAGAACAACAAATCCAACAGTGTTGTCATTCTATTTTGTTTAGGAGCTTGCAGAGTTTCTTGGCTGATGTAGTGCCCCGTTCGCTTTTCGTAAATTTTTAGTATTTTTATTGGTTCGCTTTTATTTATTTATTTTCCTACTTTTATTCAATTGATGGCTTGTTTTATTATCACTGTTTAGTTATCTTTTTGTGCTTGCTTTTGTTTTGGTGTTATGTGCATTGCGTTTCTTTACTTATGTTCATTGTCTGTATTTTATCTTTATTGCTCGTCGAATCGGTCGTTTAAAACTTAATATGATTATTTAGACGTCCTTCTCTTTCTAATCTAATAGATCGAATAATTTAGGTAGACGCTTTAGTTTACTTAAATTATTTTTCAATTTTATCGTGTTCATCAATCGAAATCGTTTGGGATCCAGCGCGTTGTATTTTTCGAGCCATATTCCGAGTGGAGTCTGGAGTTTGATACTGGGCCTAATATTGCTTATTACCCGGCCCAGTTTAATTGTAGATTTCGGCTTAAGTGTCGCACTCATCAGACGAATCGCAGCACCAGTGTTGCCCTCCTCTCTTTCGACTAGCATCCACCGTGAAGCGCCCCGCCACAGCAACGCGCCGAGATTTGTCGGAGACGCGAGGCCTGACGCCGACACGAGCGAGCAACCGACCGAGTATCAACCTCCTTTCGCCGGCACCAACTCGCGAGCCCACAAGGCCCGCCAGGCCTCAGTCCGTTCACCAACTGCTGAGATCCACCGTGGGCGAGAATATCCGTGAGCAAATCCGCTAGAGCCACAGCGAGTCCAAGTATTCTATACAAAATTTAAGAGGGTAAGTAGAAGTGTATATGCTTCAAAAAAGAGGTAATTGGCTCTCTCGGTTTCTTTTGATTTGTACTTCGATATGGTTTGGAGGGTATTTAGGTTTATCAGCCTTATGCAACCTGCAAATTACTTTGCCTGAAGGGTTTAGCTGAAGCACTGCAGCAAGAGGCTATAGCAGCGTGTTCATGTTCATTTGGAAGGTCCGATTCTCCACTAATGATCCTTTTGTTTCTTGTCCGTGCGTGCGTACTTATCTATCTGCTTTGTTTTATAAGCTGTGTGATTATAGAATTCTTTTTTTGAAGTTGTCCACGGATGTTTGGATGAAAAGTTACTCTGTTTGAAGTTGATATGGCTTTGTTTTAAAGATGTTAGATTACTACACCATTTATTTGATGATTTCTCTAGTGCACTGTGGTGGGTTTTGGCCATGCAAAAGTGTAATGAGTATACATCAATTACCTAAGATTTGAAAATTGTTGAAATGATTTTTCTGCTGAAAATGGATATGGAAAGAAATTCCAGAATCTTCGAACAGGACAAAACTAAAAGATAACTCACACACTTCACAAAACTTCAAATGTGTCCTAACTTATAAACTAACCATAACCATTGAGATGAGCCTTCATTTGGCTGTTGACAAAGCGAAGACTAATAATCAATTCTTGACCTTAATCATTGTTTGGGGCAAAAGAATTTTTCATTTCGATTAGATTCTTGGTTGTGAGTCACCTGTCTTTATAAGAATACTTTACTCAATGTATTTCTCCTATAACAATTTGTGTGTTTTTAATGCTCAACCTTTGAAGCTTCATCCAAATTGCTTTGCTTATTTGGAGTTGCCTGGTAAAAAGATACTCTAGTCTAAGTATATGAAAATGTAAAAAATCTTTGAAGCCAGACACGTTTTAATATGCTTACTGATATATTTTTTTACTTGAATCCACAAAACGAAGCAATTTCACCAAATAATAACAAGTCTTTCTCAAAGAGACAAGATTGTAAATATTTACCTATTCTTTTTTGTTAGTTCAGTGGGGTTTTATTTATGACGAATATGTGTGAGCTAAATGATTAGCTAGATAAGTGGTCCAAGTGAAGATGGAATAAAATAAACGTTACATTATATGCATTATGTGTTTCCACGATACTTCTCCATACATTCACCTTATCGGTCATTAGATTTTTCTGTCCTTGTTTTTCGGACATTGGTGTTTTCCTACTTTTGTTTCTTTCTGTGCCACTTCTTCTTATATTTGCTTATTTATGTCATCCTTATGTGTTATACTATTTTCTTTTTCCTCAGAAGAAGATGGAGCGAAAAGAACAATAAAAATGGAAAGATAGACTAGAATTCCTTAAAAGGTACGCAACAAAGGAAACTGCTTGCCCCATACATCGAAACTACAGATCCTCGCAATCTTGTGACATGTGAGTCATGGATACTTGGTCGGGTTCATTGTAGTGCGCTGCATAACCTGAAAAGGTAACAAAAAAAGTGAATGGCTAAACATAAAGATGTTAACAACAAGACTCTGGAAAAATCAATTGGCATTTTAAGACAAGGTGCAACTGAAGTGAGTAATTAATCCAACTTCAACTTGTCAAATTACCAACGTTAAGAATAGAAGCATCCTCGACGGATAAGCACAACTTCATTCCCTGAGCTTTGAAATATAGACAGAGTATATATATGAAAAGGTTGAGTAACTACTTAGAGGGCATATGTAAGTATATACATGTCGAATGAGATAGACGACGAGACTAATTAACCAATTAAGCCTGTATACTTTAGTCAAGCCACTTTAGATGGCAAAAGTTACTACTAAATCATACTATGCCTTTATTTATGCAGTGATTAAACTAAATATGTGGTGCACGAAAGGTACAAATATGCATATGAACGATCAAACACCTCGTTAGTGATGGAGCTATATGACTTGTATCTTATAATCAAGATTATCAAAGTCTTGTAGATTATGTGGGAACTCCATCGTCAGCTTCTTCAATGTCAGAATAAATTGTAAAAGTTTTGAATAAATTGATCGTGCTCCTGCTCCTGCTGCTCCTGTAGGATTGGACAACCAGCAAACAACTTCTAAAGGGCCTCATTCGTCTCATATCTATCCTCGTAGTCCACCCAATCAAACGAGAGTTTTTTGGAGCTTAGTCAGGTCTATTTTATCAGGTATGCCCGTGTAATCCGTCAAATTTCAAGCGTTTTACACTCAAACAATGTTTTAGGTAAGTTTATCTTGAAGGTAGGTCGACATCCTTTACTTCGCGCGTCTAATGGCACCAGGTAGCATCAAGTTCAAATTTTGTTACGCCAAATCTATATGGAATCTATAATGGGTTATTGGCATGAATTCTAAATGCATTCATACTTTGGTCTTCATGATCATTGCTCTGTTTATGGATTTTGTAAACTCAATATCTGAGTCGTCGTAATCTCTTTTATCAAGTAAAAGTGGAAGTGGATACATGTGCCCACAAAAACCTCCATTGGTTTTTAAGAACATTCGTCGTGGCGCAATCCCCAACTGGGAGGAAAGAGAGAATGTTCTGTTACGACAAGTGTTCTTGGGATAAAAATGGAGGTTTATGTGCGCACATGACCCCACTTTATTCTTCGATGCAACAAATTATGACGATTCAGGGACTGATTTTACAAAATCTATAAACAAGACAATGATTGAACGAGAAATTAAAGATCATCAGTGTCAAAGTTTGAATGTATTTCGAATTCATGGCAACGACTCACAACGATTTGGTGTGACAGATTTTGAACTTGAGACGATGCTACCGGGTGCTATCGGACGCGGAGTAAAGGATGTCGACCTGTACCTCCACCACCACCACGAGGTAAACTTGTCTATAGCGTTGTTTGAGTGCAAACCGCTGAAACTTTGACTCTGAGGGACTGCACGGGCATACCCGATAAAGTAAACTTTCACGGGCAAGTCTACTTTATCGGGTATGTCCGTGCAGTCCCTCAGAGTCAAAGTTTCAGCGTTTTGCACTCAAACAACGTTGTAGGCAAGTTTACCTCGTGTGGTGGAGGTACAAGTCGACATCCTTTACTCCGCGTCCAATGGCACCGGGTAGCATCAAGTTCAAATTTTGTTACGCCAAATCTATATGGGTTATTGGCATGAATTCTAAATGCATTCATACTTTGGTCTTCATAACATTTGATTTCGCGTTCCATCATTGCTCTGTTTATGGATTTTGTAAACTCAATCTCTGAGTCGTCGTAATCTGTTTTATCAAGTAAAAGATAAAGTGGATACATATGGCCACAAAAACCTCCATTGTTTCTTAAGAACACTCGTCGTGGCGTAATCCCCAACTGGGAGGAAAGAGAGAATGTTCTGTTAGGACGAGTGTTGTTAGGACGAGTGTTCTTGGGATAAAAATGGAGGTTTATGTGCGCACATGTCCCCACTTTATTCTTCGATGCAACAAATTATGCCGATTCAGAGATTGATTTTACAAAATCTATAAACAAGACAATGATTGAACGAGAAATTAAAGGTCATCGGGGCCAAAGTTTGAATGTATTTCGAATTCATGGCAACGACTCACATAGATTTGGTGTGACAGAGTTTGAACTTGAGACGATGCTACCGGGTGCTATCGGACGCGAAGTAAAGGATGTCGACGTGTACCTCTACCACGAGGTAAACTTGCCTACAGTGTTGTTTGAGTGCAAAACGCTGAAACGTTGACTCTGAGGGACTGCACGAGCATACCCGATAAAGTAGACTTGCCTAAGCTCCAAAAACTCTCATTAGATTGGGTGGACTACGAGGGTGGTTATGAGACGGACGAGGCCCTTCAGAAGTTGCTTGATGGTTGTCTTGTTCTCCGTGAGCTTATTATCACGGGCACAATCAAGGGTAACATTTATTCTTCTACATTGAAGAAGCTGACGATGAAGTTCCTACATGATCTAGAAGATTTTGATGATCCTAATTATAGGATACAAGTCATTGCTCCGTCACTAACAATACTCGAGGTGTTTGACTGCTCATATGCACATTTAGACCTTCCGTGCACGAGCAACTTGAATGGAGCACGCATTCAATTTAATCATTGCAGAAGTGAAGGCATAGTACGGTTTCTTAGTGCCCTTTCCCACCTGGAGTGGCTTGAAGTATTGACGGACTATGACCAATTAATTTGTCTTGTCGTCTCATCTCATTCGACATGTATTACATATACTTACTCTTTCTAAATTTCAATGTAATTTATTTGCAGGAATGAATTTGGGCGTACCGGCCGAGGATGGTTCGATTCTTAGTTTTGGTAATCTGACCAAGGTTGAAGTTCGAGTTGATTACTCACTTCTCAGCAAAATCCTTGAAGCTGCATCTTGTCTAGAAATGCTTGTTGTCCAAGAGGTAGATCTTTTCAACATCTTGTTGTGAACATCTTTATGTTTAGTCTTTCACTTTGTTTGGTTACCTCTTCAGGTTCCTGAAGCTGCTCTATTGGATAGAACCCGACCGAGTACCCACATGCCTCACATATCACCTTAAGATTGTGAGGATATGTCAGTTTCGATGCATGGAGCAGGAGTTTTCTCCTATCAAGTATCTTTTGAGGAATTCTAAGGTGCTGGAGAGGATGGGTATATTATTCAAGCCCCTTTGGAGTTGATCCTTTATCAAAAGTCGATGCGCGCAGCAAGATTGCATCATTTGAGAGAGCATCTATGGAGTGTCAATTGCAGGTATACAAATTTGATAGGAATTGTACATCGACTTCTGATATTAGGTCGCTCAAAAAACTGTCTTTGTTTATTTTGCACTAAAGATGGAAAGGAAGGCTCATGATGTAAAAATGTAGAAGTGGTTAACTCATGGTCGAAGCTACAAAACATATTAACTATAATGGTTTGTTTTTTTTTTTTTTGGATATTATAATAAAGGAATTTGCTGATAATTGCGTAGTTATTTCTTATTAACGTGGATAAGATCTCAAATTATTCTTTATATTATATATTTGTCCCACGTGCTTGTATTTACTTTGCATTAGTGATGCTATTAGCTTCTGCATTTCTTAGAAATAACCTGAAACTTCTTATTCATTGTTCTTCTTATTCATTGTTCCATGTCCTCTTTAAATGGAGTTACTAGATGATATATGTTCTTACAGGATGATCAAAATGTGTTGTTTCAAAAGGCTGTAGATGTGACCATGGATAATTCTTCTTCAGCCGTTGTGCGGGACACTGGTGCATTTGATCAGGATTTGCACCTTGGTGAGAGCATTGTCTAAACTTATATAAATCTGATCCTTGTTTTTGAAGAAGAATAGACAGCATTTGTGCATTGTTTTAATCCTGCTGACATCTGCTACGTGTCAAATTTATAATTGGGTGCAAAAATGTTCGCTTTATGAAAGAGAACCTTATTTCAGAGTGCTGCTAAGTAAATTTCTCAAAAGAATTTTGAACAATTGAACTGCTCAGCTTTTGTACGCTGCGATTTTATGTTGAGGGGACTTTCTTGTTCCTTTCTACTTCCATTGTATGTATAATAGAGGCGAAATGATTTCCAAAGACATTAAGTTGGTGTAATATATTCATTTATCCGCAGGACACCACCTCACATTTTATTCGTAAATTTTTTTTTTTACCGCACCAAAATTTTTGGTTCGGTGGTGTTTCGACTAACCGCAATTTTTTTTAAAAAAAAAAAAGAAAAAGAAAAACACACGCAAAATAAAATGAAGCTACATCTTCATCATCATCTAATGAACCAAAGACTCAAAATTTGAACTCAAAATGAAAAATTAGGGCAACAAATTAGATTCTAATGTAATATTTTTAATTTTTAATTGTTATTGTCATTATTTATTAATTTATTATTTATTGTTAATGTTAGTAATTCTAAACTATAGGCCCAAAATGAGCATGTATATGTACAATACAAATATGTTAACATATTTGCTAAAAAAAAAAAAATATTCAGTACGGCTCAGTTAAAACCGCACCCATCAGACCAAAAATCGAACCACACCGAAATTTGTGTTGTTTTTCAAATTTCTAACCACACCAAAAATCGTACCCTTGAAAAACCGAGTCGAACCGCACCAAATACATCTGTTTGGTTCGGTTTTACTCACCCGACAAGTATATATAAAAATTGTGGTTTTAGAATCAAAATTTTATAAATTAAAATTAATGTTATTATTTTTTTAACTATTAATCATTTATCATAAAGAATTTATTTCTTTAATTTCATATCAATTTAATAATTGCTTCTATTTTTTATTATTTCTTACATCTATTTAAAAATAATGCAGGTAAAATGACACCAAATATATGTGATTATTTTTCTCAACACTCTTGAGATAGGGTTGACAAAATGACTTGGGCTCGGCCCGAACTGGCCCGACCCGGAGCATTTGGGGCGGCTTAAACCTGCCCCGTTTCGGGACTGGCCTGACCTGTTTACTAAGCGGGCCAGGTCCGGGTACTTTTTTACTGGTCCGACCCGACCCGATTTAATTTCTTTATTTTATATAAATTATATATAATAGATAAGTGAAATTAGGAATTAGGTTTTGAGTTTTCTCATTTCTATATAAAATTATATACAATATATAATTGTTTGGATCGTTGTATTTTGATTTTTTGAGACTTATTATCAGAAATTCTATGGTGCCACATGTGGCACCATATTATGGTGCCACAACATGATGCGACACATTATGATTGGTGTACAACTATCACACATCATGTTGTGGCACCAATCATAATGTGCCACATCATGTTGTGGCACCATAACACGTGTCACATGTACACCATAGAATTTCTGGACTTATTATGTTATTTGTTGGATTGTTGTATTTCGAAATTTAAGATTGTTCTTGAGTGCTATTTAAGCTTGTAAAAAATTTTTATTATTATTTTTTTATACAATGTGTAATCTTAAGGTGATAATTGAAGTAAATAAAAGGATAAAAAATTATGTAAGTTACTACCGAGTCGGGGTGGGTCAGACACTGGTGGGCCAGGTCACGAGCCCAACCTGTTGGACCCGTCGCAGGTCGCGACAGGTCGGGTCTATTGGGAAAGAACACGGGCCAGGTCTGGCCCGACTTGGCCCACTGCCATCCCTACTCTAGGAAGTGGGAACTCGTATGCAATTAATTAAGTCCAACCCACGTGAAGGATACCTACTTAAATACAAATTGACACATTAATTCCTAACTAGCGGTGCACGCACAAAATAGAATATGGATGACTTTAGGGTTCATTGAAATATGGAGTACGTAATTTTTGTTTTTATATTTATATTTTTAAAAGGAGAAAAATGAAAGTGTGTTGTATAAATTAGACAAAATTAAATTCTTAGTTCTGTTGATTTAACGCTGTATTATTTTTAGTCTCAAAATTTTAACTTTTTGTCTTTTGATTCTGTAATTTAGTATTTGCTGCAATTCTAATTTTTTGGGACTGAAAATGCAATAAAATTTAAAATTACAGGACTTAAATTGCTAATAAAAAGTTCATCCAAATAATTTTTTATTAGCAATTTAAGTAAGTTAATTTTAAATTTTGTTGCATTTTCAGTTCCTAATGACAAATTGCATTGAATTTTAAAATCATAGGACCAAATAGCAAAAATATTCGATTCTTAGGACTAAAAAGGCCACTGAATCAAACCAACAAGACTAATCCTTTGGATTTAATGAATGAAACGCTAGAAACATTACTTTTTTCCTTTTCTTTTCTTCTCTCTCTTAATAATGAAGGGTTTTATTTTTCAGTACACATGTCAGCTCATGCCAGCCAATTGGACGCCATTACGATTTCTCTTAATTTACTAAGGAGACAATTCAATCAATAATTTAATATTATTCAAAAAAAATCTTTGATATTCGTCCTACAAAGCTGAAGGGACATCCACACAAGCTCATGCATACCTAACAACATACTCTCTCAGAGAGTCATTCGCACATTGTTGGATAGATCAACGTGAGATAGTATTTTCATTCTTCCTTGCGCTAAAAAACTAGTTGATAAATAGTGAGTTAAACATATCAAAACTATAGATCAATTCAACTGGTAGTTGATGAAACCAAGCTTCAGCAAAGCCTTTTAAGATCGTTAAAAAAGCTCTACAACAAACAACATCATTGTACTGATGCAACACCGATATGTTCTCGAAGATACGGAGCATGCTTGGCTCCTGAAAGTTGATAAGTAGATTTGCGTTCAACTCTTCATCAGAGAAAGGATGACCCTGAACACGAGGTTTCTTCTTTCCTCCACCATGGCTTAGATCTCTTGATTTGGGTTGCCATGCGCTCCAATATTACGTCTTGCGGTGGCCTATTTACCACCAGAGACACGACATATATCTCCTCAACTTCATCACACCCCCTGCTTTCACATACTAATGGTTTAGAAGCTACCGAATTGTGCTTCTCCACCATCAAGTTGGGTTGCTCCACCGCCAGAGTGGGTTGCTCCACCACCAAATTGGGCTGAGGGTTATGTGACCCATGTATCGCCTCCACAATTATCAAGTCTAGTTGCGCCTCAGTGAGTTGTGTGACTTGATCACCTCGGCCCCTCTCTTCCCACTCTTACTGGTGGTCCTTTTGTACATTTTGATACCTCACAAATTTCATCACACCTCTCTAAACAACCTCATGTCCACTCCCGATTGCCACCATCAGTTGCTCAAATGAAGCTCCTTTCTCACCCGCTGAGAAGAGAACCTATTTTCCCCTGGCCTGACCCGACTCTTCCTAAGGGTAACCAAAGCTCCACCCTCGTTGGACCATCCTGGTGGCGGACCAACTCCAAAAGGTGTTTTGACCATCATGGTTGTCGTTGAGGTTCTTCCACAAACTCTCATCGGCCATCGTTGTCTTATCTGGTGTGTGATCCTCCGAAATGGTAGAGAAAATGGTAGATGTTTTCCATAGGCGACGCCATTTGATGAGCAATTCTATCATGACCTCGAACAGATTTGACCTCCAGAGTTCCTACAACAAACGTTGGAGTGTTCCCGGTGATAGACCTCTAATAATTAAGTTAGTTCTCGGAATATAAAAAAGTGGAAGATGTGTGAGTATAGTTTAAAGCTTAGAGTGTCTACCCTTACCCCTTTATATGTGATACCTTTATATAGTAAAATCTTGACTTGTTGTCCAATATCTTCCCAATTCTCCAGCCTGAGTGTCCGAGCTTCCCAACGTTATTTTTCTATACTCTATGTCTTCCCGAGGCCCACTCTTATCCCTAGGATGATCTTCCTTCCTAGATAGACAATGTGTACCATACTAGTAGGTTCACCAATCCTATTATCTATAAGTCTTTTACTTGTACACACTCCATGAATCATCACGTATGTTAATTGTCTGCAAGTTGACCCAACACCTTGTTGATAGGTCTCTCGCATATGTGACCCATAAGCCCGCCATATACGTTATCTGTAGGTCCTTCACACGTACCACATATAAGTCTGTTATGCCCAAATGTACGTAGGTCCTCCGCACCTATATGTATTGGTTCATC